CAGTTGATATGATGTTGTAACAAAAAACTTGAATAAATATTTGCTCTGTGGTGCATGGTTTAAGTTCTATAGATACAGGATTTCATAGGCAAATTCCTCATATGAGTTAGAATATTATGATCAACCTTGCTACTTTGATTTAATATATAATTGTATGAGCTTCTTTTGCCCTTTCTAGCTAATACTATTCTTTCCAAAAACAATTATCAAGGCAAATATTGATACAAGGCATGAAATTCTTGAAACTGAATGCAGTTGCTGAGGGTTTGCCATAGGAGTAGTGAAGCAAATAGGCTGCAAATATACTGGCATCACATTGTCTCTCAAGACTCATGCAGCAGATGATCAAATTCTCTATGATTCTGCTAAAGGAGCATTGAGATTATGCTTCATTTGGGATAATTTTCTATCTGTTTTATAATTTTTTTAGTGCAAAATTTTTTTTCTAAAAATCAGCTTCATGAAGCAGTAAGAAAATTATCCTAAATAAAACCATAATCATTCTACAATCAGCTGAGGAGCAAGCAAATCCAAAACTGAAGCTGGATTGCTTTTGTACTAAATGGTGATTTAGCTGGAAGTTAATTCTAATGATACGAAGAGTGCTTTCATTACTTATGATTCATTCAAAGTTTCTACAGTTTTATACCTGAGGGTCTAAAAAATATTTTCTTTTCAAAAATGATGCAAAATAAATTTTTAATAGGTACAGTTATGATTTTGAAAATCGAATCAGACCGGCCAGTTCAATCGTGAACTAGGCATCCTCATGAAAAACTGACCCAAAATCAAACTAGTGCGAAGGTGTGAACCATCGATTCAACTGGTGAACTGGTCTTGATTTTAAGAATAGACCGATTCAATACATAATTTATTTAAATAATTTAATTAATTTTTTTTATTAAAATTTATAGAAACTATTATTTTTTTTAGTAACAAATTTATATTTTTACATGATAATTATACCAATATTATTTCATTTAGAAAATATTTAGATTTAAAATTATAAGTATAAACTAGTTATGATTTATATGTATAAATTATATTAAAATATTTAACATAAATTAGTAATAATTCGTATTCAATTATATAGTTATATGTAATTTAAATTTGTATTAAGAATATTATTTTAGTATTATTATTATTTATTACATCATCTATTTCGACCTCGGTTGAACCAGTCGAATAGTGAATCTCTCAATCTTCTGGTTCATTGTCTGGTCCGATTTTGACAACCATGATTACAATATTTTAACAGATCATCTAACACTCAAAAGTAGCTTTTATAACAAAAAATTTTAAGATATAGCAAAAAACTAGTATCCATGCAAATGTGTGACAATAATCTGAAAAGTAAAATTGTGAATAAGTTCATTATGAGTGGGTGTTATAATTCATGCATTTGAACAATTTTCAAGAAGTCATATTGAAACTTGTTTTGCCTCCTAAGAAACCATTGATTCAATATATTTCCTAGAATTCTACATGACCATTGACATATCTATTCATCTCTTTGTATTAGGACTGAATCAATAAAATGATCCATTAAAAAAGAATAAATGGAGATGTAATAACAGCTTATTATCTTTTTTCATCTATTTTCTCCTTCATCCCTCAGTTCAAGCCATTTACAATGACCCAACTTGTAAAACACAGGTGCAAATGCACCTGCAATAGGCTTTCGTGTTATGATGCACGGATATGAACATGGCGACACAGACACGACTTGACATAAATATGGGATACGTCAAATATTGAAAATATAAGACATTGATATGAGTTTGTTAGGCGTCCAGAGGGGAGATGATAATGCTCTTGAGAGTCAGACATCAATGTTTTGCAATGGGAATTGGGCGTCAATGTTGAGAATGTGTTGGTTGTCCATGTTGAGATGACATTGCACAAAGATGGAATGTCGAGGTTGCGCGGGGTGTGATTGTGGCTGTAGATATTGTTGGCACATACTTAGATTTTGAGATGGTTTTAACACATGGATGTTCTGACGACATCGGAAGTGGATATTGAGAAGGCATCGGGTATTGTTTTGAAATCTTAGCCGTGATTCGTTAGAGAGACATGAAAATAAAAATATTAGTGAATGATATTAGGAAATGAAGTATTGAGTTATGTCAATTGATTTGAGGTTGTGGAGTGAAAATTAAAATTTTATTTTTATTTTCAAATAAAAAAATGAAATACAATTATTTATATTTAAAAAAATCATAAAATATTTAATACACACATATTAGACACGTTTAAGTTTTAAATTTTTTTCTTAGTCACGTGTCGGAGACGTGCAATATCCAAATATTCAATACATATCAGATACTGCATACCTCTTTGATAAGAACTGTCGGTCCATCATAACTTTCCTTAGATAGAAAGAAGCTTTATTTACTCCATCAAACATAATAATGTTATCATTAAATATGAATAAATATATTTCTTTTAAAATTTCTCTATTTTTCTTCAATCCTTCCCCTCTTAACGCTCAACGTGCATCACGAGAGCCATTGAATAATAAAAGAGAAACAGAGAGAGGAACAGAAAAGAGAGGTAGAATAGTTGTTATACTATTCATTAAAAGATAGAGATAAGAGATGAAGGAGAAATATAAATAGATAAAACAATAAGACTTTGTGATAAAAAAAAATTAGTGGATTTCTCTATTGAAGTCTCTGTTAATTATTCATAAAGCCATAATATATTACTTAACGACCATCAATAATGCTTGAAATATATTTCAAAAACTTAAAAAAAAAAAAAGCTCTGTCTTTGACTTGCTCGCAATTATCGTTGAATGTTGGTGATATTGTAAGTTTGCACTATGAACATAAACATAGAAAGCTCAAAATTTATTTTGAACTTGATCGAATATTCTTCGCAGCTTATTTCGAACCTTGTTTGTTTTTTTGGAATAAGCATCAAATAATAGTCGATGAAAGTTTGATCATGAATCAAAGATGATTCAATCAATGTAGACAAAGTTTATTTCTCATTTTACTCAATATGTTATTGTCAAATTTTATAATTAATTCAATTTAATATTAGTTTCTTATTAAAAATTTATCATTTATTGTGTTTGACTTATAATTCATTGTGCTATAGTTGTTGTAATTATATTCTCTTGTACCATATTATTTAATAAATTTGAAGTTCGAACTTTATCTGAATGTTAAATGAATCTTATTTGAACATATAATTCAACTATTTTATAAAGTTTTATAACATCTTATGTCTACCTTATCTTATCCTTATTCAAAATACATTTTTGAATATAAAAGATTAATTGTTCAATCAATGTTTGACGAATGCTCACCACCAAGCCACCGCTGCTAGACCTATGCCCAACCATTGTCGTGCATTCGTCTGATCACCATCACCTGCAGATTACAATCTCTCTACCCACCGTCACCCACCGACTACAGTCCCTTTGAACACCGCCGCCCGCCGACTAGGTCCCTTAGACCACATTTGTCTGCCGACTAGGTCTCTCAGTCCCTCCAACCACTCTTGCCCACCAACTATGGTCCTTCGACCACCGTCTTTCGCAGACTATTGTACCTCCGACGACCATCGCTCGCCGACTATGGTGGCTCCGACCACTATCGCTCACCGACTATAGTCCCTTTCAACCTTTGTTGCCCGTCGAGTATGGTTCATTCGATTTTCACCGTCCGCCGACTACAATATCTCTGAACACCATCGCCCACCTATTGCAGTTCCTATGACCTCTATCACCCGATAATGATTCTCTCTACCTCAGTCGCCTGACTACAGCCTCTCCAACCTCTTCGCTCTACTACGGTCCTACCAATTAAACGAACATGTCAACATTTTTTGGAGAACCCTCATATCTCAAGATTCTTCCAACTCCCATCATGTATCGTGCTCTATAAGATGCATATTTACTACGATAAGCAAAGACCTTCCCCGTGGAAATGCATCTATCTTAATCAACTAAAAATATTGGTATAATCTTTTTAACTAACCCGAAGCTCATAATTTTTTCCCTTCTAAGGGTTTTCCACACCTTTTATTTCTCTAATGCAGTGAATATTTTAGCATGCAAAATTAATATTTTAACCTTTGGATATTTTGATTTCATGAATCATAACTTATTTTTAAAAATATTCTCTCTTAAAAAATTTGCAAATACTTTGAAATTAATCATTGATAATCAAATTAAATATAATAACTGTATAACTGCCAAGAATAGTTATAAAAAAATATAGATTATAATATTATTATCAAATTTTTAATAATAGTGGATCTTAAAATACATTAACTTTTTTAAATAAATAAAATATTAATTATCTATTTATTACATTTAATTTAATATAGATTTTTAAATTTTGTTAATTCTTTTTATAAATTTAATGAAATACAGTGAAAGTATCAATTCTATCCCTTTCTCTCTTCAGGGCATCTCCAACCGAAAATCTCATTTTTCACTCCAAAATGTCATGAAACTACAAAATGCCGTGATTCATCTACAATCGAAATCCATTTTTCACCCTTTTGCAGGTAACGGTCGCCTCTTCTTTCGCGCGGCGAGTTCTGTAAAGAGGTAAAAAAGATGGAGATGAACAGCGAAACACCAATATTGGCGTCTCACTGTTCACCCGCAGCCAAATAGCGGAAATTTTGAGATTCGGCTGGAGCTGGCCAGGAGCGCCATTCAAGCATTTCGAGTTCGGTTGGAGATGCCCTCACATGTCCCTATTGGCTATTAGGAATTATTAATTATTAAAAAAAAAAAAGAAAAAAAAAATACCTTTAAAGCTTTGAGTTTGGCAGCGAAGTATTTGTTTCATTGTTTGTATTTTTTCGCAATATAACTACAGTTATAATAATAAAATAATTATATGTCACAATCGTCCTCCTCTATCGTTTAAAATGCGTCAAAGAAGACTTAAGGGTTGAGTCTGGTTCACGGCACAGCGGTGGTCGCATTTCTCCCGCAACCTTACTATAAAGCTCCTTGCTTTTCCCCCACCCCTACAAAGTACAGAACCACACCGCACTCTCTCTCTTCCTTAATTGGAGGAAAAACAGGAGATTTGAAAGGAAAGAGAAGAGCTTTGCCCTTTTGGAAGCAAATGGCAAACCCTAACACAGCAAAGCTCGGAGCTTTACGGCTTCCGCCCGGATTCCGATTCCATCCGACCGATGAAGAGCTCGTTCTCCAGTATTTGAAGAGGAAGGTCTTCTCTTTCCCATTACCGGCCGCCATAATCCCCGAAATCGATCTCGGAAAATACGACCCTTGGGATCTTCCAGGTCAGTGCTACTCATTTCTCAAACAAAACTCTCAAATCTTCTCAATAGAATGGACACTTACCGATTTTGGATTTTGCTAATTGCAGGTGTTGGAGAGCAGGAGAGGTATTTCTTCTATTTAAGAGCGGCGAAGTATCCGAATGGCCGCCGGGTAAATCGGGCGATGGGTTCGGGGTACTGGAAGATAACAGGGAAGGAGAAGCCTATTTTTGCTTCGAAGAGTAATCAGGTGGTTGGTATGAAGAAGGTTCTGGTTTTCTATCATGGAAAAGCGCCGGCCGGAGGGAAAACCGACTGGTTTATGCATGAGTACTGCCTCGCCGGCGCCGGCGCCGATGCCGGTGTTTGCAGCTTTGGAAAGAGGAGCAATCTGGTCCATGTGAGCTCTCTCTCTCTCTCTCTTCCTTACCCAATTTGCCCTTTTTATGTATTATTTACTAAATACTTATATATTTATATTTATTTATATAACATTTTAATATGAAAATATCATGAACAGATCAGATATGCATAAAAAATTTATTTCATTTTTGATGAATTTATATTAATGATATTTTTAATGTGATTTAAATAGTATGATATATATATATATA